TTGGAACGAAGTTACGGAAAGTTAATTAACGAACGGAGACGTAACAGTATGTTTCTTAGCAGAATTTCACAACCTACTCCCTTCTGATGTAACATTCGAAAGTGATTAGGCCTACTCTAAATGTCTAACTTCTGAAGTTGCAATAAACATCATTTTACAGCTAGTATTAATTCTATGAATAGCAGCGAGCGCATCACGTGGTATGAAACATTTGAACTGATGCCTTGAAAAGTCGGTCAATAACTTGCGTGACTGTTGTCTAGTTGCCACGCATGCGAACGTCGCAGCATTAATTTCGGAAACGACAATTTTATCAGCATAGTGAAATAATGATTCATCTAGGCCTAATTACAAACATTTTTCCTAAACCCGTAAAATGAAGACGTCCATATCAAATGGCGCAAGATTTCGGTTACTAACAGATGAAGGAAGAGCTGTTGAGTTTCATGGTAGAAAAAGCCAGAAAGAGTACTAGAAACACGATCAAAGTAGCAGTAAAAGTATTCGAGGAATATTGCACCACACGGAGGATAACTGTTGATGACAACGTTGGAAATCTCTCCAGCATTTCAGGCAAATTTATACCGAAGTTAGTTAAGACAAGTATTATACGTTTACTGTAAATTTGTAAACACATGAAGGTACAATTATTTTTACCATCAGATATTCAGTAATACATTTATTGAATTAGTGTGGACCAATCCTCCATTAAGTTAACCATTTTTCTTATAAATGTTATAAAATACCTACAAAATGGGCCTATATCCTGCATAACCAGGTTACCAATAGCGACATGTACAAGAGAAATAGGCCTACAAGTGGAAATTGTAGCGAAAACAAAATCAAATCTTTTGCTCTCACAACTATTTAATATTTGTATAACGATTACCTTAAAGTCTGAAGTTATAATAAACAGTAATTATTCTAAATTTAAATATATTTTTGTAAATTATAACAAAAGTGATCACCTTAAACTTGCACCCCACACTTCTTATGTTATACAAATATCCTCCGATTTACGAACGTTCGGTTTAAGTTTAATCACTATAACGTAACTAACTTTCATGGGCATGTTTTTCTACTTGCGTTCACATTTTTCGCTATAATGAATATTTACGTAAAAGTCTTAAGAACATTTTGCCCTCCGAAGATCGCCAGTAACCTCGGTAGCCTCTCCCTCCTTCCGTCACCTCGACAAGCAAAGCAACAACTAGATCCTGACGAGTACAGTACACTACATTTTGTTTTATTAATGAAAACGTCTTTATTTCAGGTTTTTGTTTGTGTTAATTGAGCAGTATTTTTCTTTTCTGGGGTCAGGAACATATCCCCAATTTTTTATCTTTAAAATAATGAGAAATGTTTTCCCATTTACTTCCCCCCCCCCCGTTACGTTCTCCAATAAAATATCCCTTTCGTAAATCGAGGGATACCTGTACTATTTTGAACCCCCTAAAGAGGAGACGAAGCTAGAAATTTACCTTAAACTTACAACCCATATCTCTAAACATACAATTGAGTGAAACAGATGGGCATTCTTCCTTGAGGTGAGATTCCATGTCCTCTCTTGGAATCTTGGATTGTTCGCAGCGGTTGGGACAAGGTAGAGGATATCTGGGACACTTGGCTGTGTGGTTCTGTAACCAAGGAAAAAGAAAAATTCACTAGTTTATTGAATTTTGGTTGCAATGCCAGGTTGGTGTTTAATCACTTCGAAACTACTCTACGCTAAAATTAACACTAACCTGTAATGTGTCGTAGACAAATTCCTTCTGACAGTATCGACAGGCCACGAGCCTTTTGGCACATTCATTCATCCGGTGATTGGTGACGAACCTGCGGTGAATCTTAAATCCGCATTTGTTCTCACAAAACACGGGTTCATACTGACAGCTGCCCACGTGACCCTAGAAGGTGAAAACAATTTAATTTACTACTTGACCAGTTTATTATTCTAACAATCAGTCTCGTCATTTGTTGGTATAACTGTACGATTACTTTTACCCTAGACCAGCATTTGGGATGCGTCGTTCCCTCAACGAATTTAAAAAGAATACACGAGTGTTATGCAGGAAAAAATATATTACCTTAAATTGTTGCACCAACTGAAATATTGTCAAAGATAACACCAGGGCCGGATTAAAAATTATGGAAACCCTAGACTAATGACTCATGGGGTCTGTCCCCAATTATGCTAGTAACCTCGGGTGTAGTGGTTTAAAATGTATTGTCATCTATTAGCAGTGAATAAAAAATATTAAAAACATATCGACTATCAAATATCATATGTATTACGCTAGGGTTAATGCTAACACTTAATAAAAGGGAATGCACGTAACCACTGATGTGTCAGTGACGTCACATTGTAACACTAGTACTAATCATAATTGAATTATTTGATATTTATGGGGTAGGCCTAATGATATTGTTAAATAGCAGTGTTTTTTTTAGTTGAAAAAAGCAACGCGATTAAAAAATATAGTAGTATTTTGTGGCAAAAAAAAAAAATCCCCTTCAGATGTAAAATGATCGACCCCTAAGAAGTTTACTGAAATGCGTTACGCGGACCGCATTGACGGGAAAAAAACAGACCTCTTAACAGATTTACAATTCTACATGTAATGTTACGATAACTATACTTCTAATGGCGATTGTTCGCAGACTCAGGAACTACGACGTCGTCCATTGCTCATTTTAGATGCCTATAGCATTTGTAGCCTAACAGGTCCAAATGAAAAATGTTTTAAAAAGTTTTTAAACAGCAGACTCTTGACTCCAATAGGACTGGTAGTTTAAATCTAGAAAATAAAATAGATAGATAGGCCTACTCGTTGTAAATATTTTGCTATGCTTTGTTTCTTTACAATAGCCTTCGGTGTCATAGACCTACATTTCTTATGTAAATTTTAATTTGTTTATGAGTTGGTGTCCCACAGTCTACTATCAAAGAATGGCCTAAGTAGGACAATTAGACACCTTCTAACGATAGGCCTATATCACATACAAAACTCATGTCCGTATATACAATGAATGAATCAAATTATATATTTCTTCCGCGGGGTGTACTTTTTTTAAATTTGATTCAGTCGAAAATGTCAAATTAAAATTATTTCTTTCATACATTTTCAGTATTTTAAATCTTTATGTAACTTATCAACACAGGCCTACAATTTCGTATATCTATATCTACATATACCATGTCAAAGCCGCAGTTAATACGTCCTCCCCCCCAATAACCGGGAGCCCCGAGCTGCAGTGTAGTCAGCCTATTGGTTAATGAGGTCTTGGATAACGCCACAAACAGACTTCAGTTTTAACAGTTCTTATACACTGTATGCTGAAATGAAGTTCTTGTTTTTTTTTAACATGTATTTCCTCCCCCATTAAATAATACTGCAATCATTACCAAAAATTAGATTATCCATTAATTAGTATTAGCCTATTAAATGATATGTAACATTCACTAATTAATTTACATTTCATAATTTGTTTGTTTGTTTTGAATTTCGCGCAAAGCTACACAAGTGCTATCTGCGCTAGCCGGCCCTAATTTAGCAGTGTAAGACTAGAGGGAAGGCAGCTAGTCATCACTACCCACCGCCAACTCTTGGGCTACTCTTTTACCAACGAATAGTAGGATTTACCATCACATTATAACATCCCCGCGGCTGAAAGGGCGAGCATGTTTGGTGGGACGGGGATTCGAATACTTTTCATAAGACATTAGTTTTAGACCTATCATATTTTTTTAACACTTAATTCATTTTCTAGGAATTTAAGAATTAGAAGATATTTCATCTACACTATGTTAGCTATATCTATTGACAACGACGCGTTTCGCTCAATCCAGAGCTCATCAAACAAGATAGTAGTCGGACACATTATTTGTATAATCCATTTGTTATAAGAGCCGTTATGGTGTGAACGCCTTTTCCAAGCTAGCGAAGCACGATTATAATTTATTATACTTTTCAAAAGACGTACTTTAGTATTGAGCGAAACACGTCGTCGGCAACGAATATAGCGAATCTACTGTGGTTAATATATTATTATACGCTCCTCTAATTCTTGAAAATCCCCACGAGACTAGATAAAGAATGGGTTAGAAATATAATAGGCTTAATACTAATGATTTATGACAAGTATAATTAACTATAATCATACTTCGTCAGCTTGGAAAAGGCTGTTATAACATTATTCTTGTACGCTGTTGATAAAGTAAGTAAAAAAAAAAACAACAACTAGGGGTGACAGGTAATTAACAGCACGAGTTTTATTTTATAAATGTTATTTTTTGTTATACTTCAACACTGCTGCAAAATACAATATATTTGTAAATATTAAATATGAAAGTGCGCAAGTGTTTAAAAAAAAACAACTTAATATTCTACTTAACATAGGTTTCTTTTGTTTTTCCTTCCGAGTTGAAGGGAAGCGTCTAAAAACGGTAATATTTGCAAAGTAATTTTAGTATCAGTTTCAAAAATACCTTTTAAAAAGTTAAACTACAAATAAAATTGTGTTATATATAAAAGGAATTATCCAAAATCGATTGTACGTGCTGTCTTATGAAGTCACTCCTGGACACGCTAAATGCCAGAGCAAGAGATTGCAAGGTTTGTTTGAGGATCTTCGCACAAAGCTTCACAAAGTGCTAAATGCGTATACTCATTCTGAATTGATTCTCACAAGAGTTCCGTAAAGCAGCTACTCAATAGTACCCGCTAACCAAATTTGGTTCACTCTTGTCTGATCAAGTAGTGGGATTTTAACTGTTACTTTTATACCGCACACGTGGTCCTAAATTGCAAAATGCGTTTAACTGGCAAGGGGACGAGAGCCATGAATCTTCGAATTCATAGACATGGCACGCTAGCCATTAGACTACACCCGGTATTAAAACAAAAACAAAAAAAATAATTCTAGAATTTCAGAAGTCGCCCCGAGTCAAGAATACGCAGTCTATTAAAATATTTAGCTTACGAGATGTAAATTTGTCCAAATTACAAGATGAAAATATATGGAATACAGATATGTATATTGGAGGAGAGAATTTTCTACTTTTAGAGTTCGACTCCCTATGTATGTTTTATAAATGTTTTACATGTTTTATAAACAGATGTGTACAATTTAGGGGGTGGGGGGGTCATCGCGTTTGCTCTTCCGAGAAGTACATTTTAAATGCATAGAGAAATGTTTTACGCTGGCCTGAAATAAACAGAACTCATTGTAATCGCTAAAAGTAATGCTTCGTTATAATCGAGACATAATGGCGAAGATGAAATGTTTCTTTCTTTCGAAGTTATATTTATTTTTAACCTTGTTCGCTACATTAATTTACAAGTGCTGCCGTCTCCAAGTTTTTCAGATATATTAAGTTGTTGTTTCCGAGACACCAGAAATGGCTTAAAATAAAAATATTCCATTAAAATCTCATCATCTCCATTGCCCATTTTAAGATGAAAACTGAACTTTGATTCTAAATTGATTTGCGAGTAAAATAATAAAGACGATGTATTGAATCATGTCCATAGCACCCTTAATAAAAAACACACATGTCATCCGTACAAAGTCTATCAATTAGCTACTATGTAACAACTATAACACATTATAAATTCACCACAGAGGCGGGATATGTCCGATTTATCTTAACCCACGCCATCGTCAGTTTCACAAGCACGAGCCAATGTCTGTTTGTTCTGTTCATATTCCACATGTGTTTACTGCCCTTGTCACAGAAGGTCAACATTAGAGGCCATGAGAACATAAAGTGTTTCTGTTTTCCCCAAACTCAGCGACCACTACACGAGAGATGTTTCTTGTTACATCATGCTAACAAACTAAAGACAAGACAGCGTTCAGTTCTGTGTGTCACCACAGTAACACCACTCCATCAGTCACACACACAATCAGTAACCATCAGCGATACAGTTTTTCTAGCGTATAACCAACTACTACATACATAACTTTTTTTTTTTATGGTTGATGCTATGTTACAAGATAACTCATTAAATAAGAGTGTATAGCTTGAAGGTGCAATAGTTTTATTTTGTTATCCAAAGTGTAAACAATGTTATTATGTGAGGAACGAATTAGCATTCTAAGTGAATTGTAAGATAGGTTCAACCAAAGATTTATTCTTAGCGTCAGATAAAATAAGTTAACAGTTTGGAAGTGTATCACGTGCACACGTCTTGCTCTCGACATAGGTAAGATGTTCAAAATAATGTGCGACGAAGGTGCAAACTGTTGCAACAATACAATCAGTAGAACATGTTATTAGATTTGATGTTTTCATTCCTCTTCAATTGAATATTTTTTTGCTTTTTTATGCAAATAAACTAATATATATATTAGAAAGCTATATCATTATAATAAAGAAACTTCGAGCGTTAAGTAAATCATATAAAACGCAGAAGCCTCGTGCCTATCAATGGTCATCGGACAGAATATGGTAGAGCTCTCAGCCAAACCAGTTCCAACAACCACAAATGTTCAATTAAAGAGGTAACTACCATGATGGGTGGAGGTTGGGTGACTATGTTGGTGGTTAGTACAGTTCCGTATTAATTGGTACTAACAGTTAATTACCATGATGAGTGGAAGTTGGGTGACTATGTTGGTAGTTAGTACAGTTCCGTATTAATTGGTACTAACAGTTAATTACCATGATGAGTGGAAGTTGGGTGACTATGTTGGTAGTTAGTACAGTTCCGTATTAATTGGTACTAACAGTTA